AGGGTAGTAATGTAGCATCAATACATGCAAAGAACAGGACGTGAAAGGAAGAAACAGAAAGAAGGATTCCTCACGAAAAAATTTAAGAGAAAAAACATTTCAAAAGTGAATGACTGTCCAAACTGACACCAGAAACTTAATTTTTAAGTAGTATTGAGTTCCAGCCCTCTCTGAAATTTTTCTAACCATTGGTCATGTGGAACAGCCTAAAATTGGAAGCTACAAAATCAACTAGTAGCTTTGAGGGCTTTGGTCATGAACAGTTATTTTAGAAAAAAAGGCCAAGGAAGAGTGCCACGTTTTTGAGCTATGACTGGCAAAGGGAAGGCAAAAGGAACTGTTCCCTTTTCGCACGGGGACAATTTTCTATCCAGCATTGCGGGAATATGGCACAAAGCAACACAAAAGAGTCCAGAAATTGAGTCTTAGGAATGAGATAAGGAAGAGAATGTGAAATACAGAAAACAGAATATATAAAAATAGATATATATAAAAACTAAAAGCCAGTAAATCTTGAGCAAAAGTCTGAATTACGCAGCAACTGTTTCAGACCATGTTTAATGTATTGCAGGAAAGAACTGATAACTGAAAACATTCCTAGTAAATTCAAATAAAAATATTTCTCATAACGGTAAAACTCAAACAGAATTGACCAAAGCTGGCGTGACATAGCTTTTAGTCTCATTTTAATGAAGATTAATGATTATATAGAATTATGTATTATATGGAAAGCACAAGGAAATATCTTTAGAAAATGAGAAGCTATACCAAATAGCCTGTTATTTATTTTTTCATAAACTGCCATATTTAATCAGTCTTCTTCTGAATGAGTATGTTCAACTGAACAGCAGTTAAGTGAGAATCCTAAATAATTTATGAGTTATTACTAAAAGCAGTACATTAGTGCTCCTGAGGACTGTGTGATTTTAAAGAGATGTTAGAGTTACATTTCTTGCACAGAGATTTAAGAGGTAGCTTAAGAGTTGCATTCTTTGCCAATAACCCATACGCGTTCAAGTTAAACGGTAACTCTCACTAGTGTGATTAGCTCATTGAGACTACCTTTTTAAGTGTACATAATGCTAGAAGCAAAACACAAGTCTGGACTCATAACCTACATGAACATCATTGCTGCCATTTTGTTACCAACTTCTTCCCTTTGTCTTACAGTTGCATATAGATCACCTGCATGTATCTTTGTTCTTTTCTTTTCTCTTTAATCACATCCTCCTCCAATCCTTCACTCAGTCTACAAATACTGCCTTGCAACTTTCCTTGTTTTCATTTCCATATTTTTGACTTTGCTGCCCAAAGTGTTTTGTATGCCCTCACTACCCACCCTGTGTGCTGTGCTTCACACTATCCATTCAGACCCCCTTTAAGAGATTCACTGGAGTGAGTCTAATGTAAGAAATAAAAGCCTCAAAAATAATAATCTATTAACAAAACCAAATCTCTGTGAGGTAACATCATCTAAAATTTCACAGGGACTCCTTGTGTTAGTATAGACTACAGATCCCTCAGGGCAAGAATTAAGTAATTTATGACATAATTAAAAAACAACGGCATTATACTAATTCATTCTTCAAAGAGATATCCTGAGATAATGGTACCTATCACACATCAATCTACAAACAAAGGTGCTATTAAAAATGAGTAACTGTCAGTTTAGGTAGCTTCTCACTGCTATGAGCATAGGTCACTCAGTAATCTGGTCCACTCATGCTGTGGTTTCACAAAAGCAACTTCATCAAGGCACTTTAAGCATCATATTAATTTTCAAGCGTTTAAAATGACTCTGTTGGCATTTCTTTAAACACTTCTAGTAACTCTTTTCACCAAATACTGGGTGCAGCAAATGGAGACTTTAGAAGTTAGCAGAGCAGTTCGCATGGTGGAGAGTGCAAAGCAGGCCCTGAAAGTCTGCTCCAGACAGCATGGGACTGTGCAACAAGCATGGAGACACACAGCAGGGCTCCATCCCCAGCACCTGCTGGAGGAGGCACCCTGGGAAACCAGAGCCCTCAACCAAGACAGAGCTCCAGAGGGCAAGTGCTGCCACCCAGGCTGCAGGGGGGCAGCAGTCTCCTTTGCAGGAGGTGCACTCTGGCTGAGGTAGAGTCACCGGGGGAAGCAGCTGTGGGAGGAGGAGGACAGACTATGTAGCATCAGGAAGAATAAACAGGAGATGGACAGGGTCGTCTTGGGGACCTTGCCAAGATTTCTGGAGCGTGTTGGCGGCAACTTCTTAAAATGGATGCTACATGGGTCATCTCTTGGATCTGCTGCTCATGAACAAATGACTGGGGATGTGATAATCAGTGCAGCCTTGGCTGGAAAAATCATGAAATAGTGCAGTAATGAAGGCATGTAGTAGAATACAGGTGCTTCAGGACTTTAGGAAAAACTGGCTGAATGATTGGGGTCTAGGCACACTGATTAAAGGCTCACACACTGTCTAGGCTGATCAGCAAAAGTACCACAGAGCCCTGTGCTGAGACCTATCCAGCTTTATATGATTATAAATGACCAGAAGAAAGAGATGGGACACATCATCAGCAAATTTGTGGATGAGGCAAAACTGGAAAAGCAGTTGATACGCTTGAGGGCAGAGCTCCCATTCAGGGGGAGCTGAACACAGGCTGGAGGAACGGGCCACAGGAACCTCATGAAACTCAGCAAGGAAAATACAAAATCACCTGGGATGGACTAACTTCCTGCAACTGTACAGGCTGGGGATTGACTTGCTGGGGAACCTCTCTGCAAAGAAAGGACCTGGGGGTCCTTCCGGCAAACGGTACTGATGAAGACTAACCGCAGTCTAGGCTGTATCAATAGGAGGAGAGCCAGTAGACCAAGGGAAGCAATTACTCCCCTTTACTCGGGACTCATTAGACCACATTGAGAATACCATGTCCAGCTCGAGAGCCTGAATACAAGGCAGAATTTTATGAACTGCTACAAGTTCAGCAGAGGGCCACCAAGCTGGTCAGGGCCTGGAGCACTTGCCCTGTGAGGAGAGGCTGAGGGAAGAGGGCTTGTTCAACCTGGAGAAGAGACGGCTTGGGGGCAGGGGCCTCAGAAGCCTCACAGAACCTACGGGGTGGCGATCCAGAAGATGGGGCCAGGCTCTTCACAGTGGTGCATGGCAGGAGAAGGAGAGACAAAAAGCATAAATTGAAACAGGGGAGGTTCTGACTGGACAGAAGGAAAAAATTTTTCACTGTCAGGATGACTAAGTACTGCAACAGGGCACCCAGAGAGGTTGCGTAATCTTTGTTCTTAAAGGTTTTCAAGATATGACTGGACAAAGCCCTAAGAAACTTGGTCTGAATTCAGAGTGGACCCTGCTTTGAACAGGAGATTGGACTAGAGACCTACGGAGCTCCCTTCCAACCCGAATGATTCTCTTGTTAGTATTTTACCTTGGATCAGGAGTTTGCTTTGGAAAGGGATCAGATCGCCCCCACTTTAGCTCACACTGCAAAGTCATCTCAGAGTGGACAAAATTAATCCCTTTGGGATGAAATTAAACCGAAAGATGTGCTTCAACCACTGATGAGCATTTATCCATTGAAACAAGCCAGAGATGACCTGAAGTACTCCCCTTTCTCTAAAAAGTGTAATGTGGATGCTACGTCCTCAACACCGTTTTGCTTTACGGTTACACTTCTATTGTGCCACGCTATTTGCTAAGGGCAATGGTCATTTTAATAGTTTATGTTTGTCCACTTCAACAAATGGAAAGCAACACTGACATTTAAGACTTGACTTTTCAGCTTTTTCACACCGACAATTTTTGTCCAAGGATAGAAATGCACATTACCTAGAATCCTTCAAGACTGAGTCTACACTTTCTTACAAATGGGAACATGCAGCTCTGATTACAGGAAGTTTTATAGCTATGCTCACTCACTAAACCTGTGCAGAAGTCTTTCCACAGTTCCTGCATATTCTGAAGGCCGAATCAACACAAAAAGCAGTGTTTTGCCCACCTCAGCTCCTCCCATATTCAAGGACTCTAAACGGGAAAGGAGAGTGGTACGAACTGTGAAGTGCAAGCAGACATAGAAGATGTCAGATGACAATATATAATCTCTCATTTTGTAAGCTTTTTTTTGTGCACTCGCACATAACAGGATAGTTTGATAAACAGCAGATACTTAAGAAAGTCAGACTGTGAGATCTTAATTAAAAGTATTAGTCTTCCCAACTGAATACTGTCTGAACAAGGGGTCACATAGCATCTGCGAAAATCTCTGTAAGAAACTGCGTGCAGCTGCCAAGAAAGCCACCTCCGTACCTGTGAGGAATGATTTAACCCCTTTCAACACAGAGACATTGCTTCCTTTGCAGCTCTCTTCAACGTACAACCTAATCATGCAGACAGGACACCTCCTGTGCATCTCAAGTGTTTTTACTGCCCAAACTGTTAGGCACTCAGGCTGGTCGTGCTTATGGAACTTATTAAGTCCTAATAAAGACAAGGATCTGGCCACCAGTATATCCTGGAGCTTCATAACGTGGAGCTTCATAAGCTCTCAGGAGTGAATGATCTGCATACCGCAGGCAGTACAGGGGACTGCCCTTCACCTTATCAAGCCAGACACTTTATACAAGCACAAAACATCTGGATACGGAACAGAGTAGAAGAACACCACTTCACCAGCCACAGCTCTCTTCCCTTTGAAGACATTACAAGATTTCTGAGCCCGCATCAGAAAACCATATAAGCCAATGCAAAGAACATTTCTATTAAAAAAAAAAAAGAAAAAGTGCATTTAAAATTTCTAACGTTAATCTTAACTTGTATCTAAAAATAAAGGCACACTAAGTCCTCAAAAAGTTTCCATCTGGATTTACTGGGAATTGAACTGGACTCCATCTGTTGTTACTTCAGGAAAAAAACCTAGCTGGTTAGTTTCTCATATCTGTTATACGGTTCCCCTCCCTCCTTTAAGAGAATTAAAGATATATCTCCTTCTTATTCAGCAGCTTACCAATGGCCTTTGTGTAATGCCGGGCTCCAAGTAACAGCTCTGGAGCTCTGTACCAGAATGTCACCACAACTGGATCCAAGTCTGCCAATGGCTTCAAAGGTGAATTGAACAATCTGGCAAAACCCATATCAGCTGGGAAAAGAAGAAAAAAGGATATTTAAAGGATTTAGCATAAATTACAAGTCATAATTTAACAGTATTGCCAAAAAGCTATTGGAACAAAAAAGCTCAGAAACACTAAAACTTACAAGTCAGAGTCTCTAAGTAACTGACAAGTTACTCATAACAATCCTTACCCTTATATAAGGCCAAATTCAGAGTACTTCATTTGATACGACTATGAAGGATGCCGTTTGAGTAAGTCTTTTCATCACAGAATTGTAAAACAATATGTAAATACAAGTCCCACAGTATTCAAAATGAGCTGTAACAGATAACTAGATAACCAAATTCAATAGGAGTAGGTCTCAAAGTCTAATGTACATTTTCTCTTTCATTTTTATAGACATTATAAAGTTTTGAGAAGAACTGAAATGAGAGCACTTTCAATTGCTCTGTAGTAATCTGAAGAGCAAAAGTAAAACAAGTGCAGTGCACATGTTTTATCCAAGTCCAAACCTCTCTCTCACACAAATTTCATCTAAATCTTTCTGCTTCCAAAACTATGAAATGGCAGGTGGATTTCTGATAAAGACCATCAGAGTTACTTTTGTTGCCACCTCGATGCCTAATCGCTTTTTGCGTAGCGAATCTTTTGACCTCTAAAAATATGTTCATTGATATTGTTTACAAAAATATAGTTAAGAACTAATACAATGTGTAAGTAACAACTTTACAATACTTAAACACAGAAGCAGTCAAAAGAACCCTTGCCTTTGCTCACCACGAAGGTAGCCATGTATAAACTTTAACCTCGTCCTGGCCACAGCAGCCGCTCTGTGTGCTTATTAATTTTCTGCCTCTTGCAGATATTTTTATCTCACCAAATATCCTTGACAAGCCCTATAAACGTCTAATAAATTATTTTTAATCTTTCAAGTTTGTAAACTTGGGAACTTAGATTTAAAACCGAACTAGATATTGCACATACGCTTCTCCAAAAATAATTCGGAGGTTTTTTTTAATCTCACAGTGAAGATGCAATGTTTTTAATTACTCCCTAGTTGTGCAATGAAATTTTCTTAAAAGGGTTACCTATTTTGACTCTTCCTCTTTCTGGACCTTCACCCATTACCAGAATGTTTGCTGGTTTCTGGAAAACAAAAAGCTTAATATTTAGTTGACCAACCTTTGATGATCACAATAATAAAAATATGTACATTTATAATAATAAACATTTCTATAAATGTTCTTAGAAGTCTAAAACTACTATCCATTTACGCTTGGCTGGCATTTGGTTTTTATTCCTAGTCACTGACTTCACAACTAGAAGAACTGCAAAGTATTTTGACATTTCATATTCAGAATTGCAATTCTAAATTAAGCTTACATTCCCATTTTGACCAAAAATGATGACGTTGTTTACTGGTGAGACTTTCTTCTAAAAGAAAATGTTATACCAGGCTAAGGTGTACTGCACAGATCAATACTCTGGCAAGGAATACTTTTGCCAGTATAACTTATTTAAAATGATGCCAAATCTTGGCACGGAAATGCAGAGCTGACAGTTGCTGTTGTTACCATCATACACAGCCAGATTTTTAGAACCATGCTTATTTTTAGTGTACAAATGATAAAAAATTACATTGCCAAAAGCACTTTTCCCCACAAAGTGAGTTGATTTCATGCTGTGAGAATTGACCTTAAAGTGGGAATATATACAGCTGCATCCACAAACTTTTTACAGTGTAGAAGAGAACCTTTACAAATAGAGGAAAATCTTTACAGGCGCTTTATGCGATCTGCAGTTGTTCACACCAAGCCGTTTGTGAACACCATATAAAATTGGCACATGACATCACAGCCATTGTTCTACAATTGGGATTTAGATTCTCTCAGACACCAAGAGTCATTCCTTGGAAGCTTTTACCCTATTGTGTTTACAGCTGTAAAAAAGTAAACAAGATTGAAAACATTAGATGATTTGAATGAAGAGATGCATAAGAAACTTTCAAAGCAGCGTTTTTGAAGGTTTTCATCCAAGCATTAATTATGTTTAAATATGCGATTTAAAATCTCTAACCCTGCAAGAGATTTGGTCAAACAGGATTTGTTCAAGAATCAGAAAGGGACACGCAAAAAGCAGACACCAGAATCTCGACTCACTCCTCACACTTGCCATTATTTATCTGAAATGAGACCTACAAACTATGGTTATTCATTTGGTTCAAACTGCAGCTAGTGATTACATTTAAAAATTAGTTGTTTTATTAAGAGAAAAAAAAAAGGTACTATTTCAGCTATTCTTTCCCCTTCTCATCTGGCTCCAGGAGGTACTTCTTCCTCCCACCCAGTGCTTCTTCCCTGGCTCCAGCCACCACTCCCTTTTCCCCTCTGCCTCCTACCCTGCTCCAGTTGCTGTTGCCTCTTTCACTCCTTCTCCTCTTAGACAGGAAAGCTAGCTGCTGCCTCAGGCTTTCTCCATCTCACACTACTTCTCAACCCCACTGCAGACTTCTCATTCCCCATCACACTTTTGAAACCCTCCAAGAAGAAAAACACACTCCACTTGGAGAATGCAATAGCTATTTCAAATAACAGTAAGTTACTGGTCATAGTTTATAGTTTAATAGTTAATAACTATTAAGAACTATCAATTGGTTAGCAGCTCCTTTCTCTGAGTCAATAAACACTGATAAAGCAATGATCACTGAGAAATCAGTTAACATTGGTAAATCAGTAATGGTGTCAATTTTAAAATATAAGAGCTTTTGTTACACGATCTAGAATCTCACCAGCAAATCTAGATAAAGAAGATGCTTATATTTAATGATAATGAAATTAACGTTCATCAGTGAAATTAACATCCACGTACCCGGACAAACACTGGTTTTAAGTTTCCAGCAGTGGCTTACATTTGCCTAAACTGCGTATTTCTGGAGAACAGAACCATCCCGTTCTGCGTATTCAGAAACTTAAGCCAGGCAGCAAGGGAAGTAGGTACGCTTCTATTGCATTTGACCGCTGTTAGGTCTCCAGAAATCGCCCCAGCGAGATTCCAGGTGCGAGCATTTCCTCACCAGAATTCTCCCCTGAATGCCTGCCTAGAAACCTCAATGGAGAGGCAAGCACAAATTACCTGTTTAAAGACCTTTAGATTCAGGACTGAACTGACATATTTGTCAAGTGAACAGAGCTGATAAAAACATAGTCGCTGCACTGACTTTTACATTAGATATAGAAGAATATACACTCTTACACGCTAAGAGAGAAATTTTGTGCAAGACCAGTCCCTAGGCCTTGCGCTAGGGACCTAGGCGCTAGGAGAGGCACTAGGACAAAATTTAAAAACTAAGCAGATTCAACAGGATTCTCGAAACAGGAAACATCTCGTGAGGCTCCTGTTTTAACCTGCAATGTTAAAAGATTCTTCAAGCAGCAGTTTCTTCATCTGCTGGCATAAAACACAATATTCACACAACGAATTCACTAGGCTGGAATCTATGAAAGCAAACGATTTGTCCGGCTATTTATTTTTTAAACCAGAGAGTTTTGAAGAGAGATTGTTCCGTTTGAAACTTAAACCTGTACTAATATTTAATCGATGGAGGGCGAGAACCCCGCTAGGGCAGCCAGCGGAGAAGCACGCTGACTGATAAACTCATCCGCTTACGCCGCTGGTGTTAGCTCTCGGGAACCTGTCTGAGGGAGTAGGGAGGGGGGAAGAGAGAAGGCAAACAGAGGAAGAAGAAAGAGTGCTGCATCTGAAAACCTCATCTTCTGCTTGAAAGAACATGCACTTCGCAAGGCACCAAACACAGGAGATGACAGTCACCTCGCAGACAGCCTGCTGGTGCCTTCGGGGTCACTGCCCAACCGCAGACCCCTCTGGGAAGAACAACCTGCTGAAGTCAGGGCAGCTTCCTGGAAGGTGAAGTGTCTTGGTTCAAGCCTCTGCCCTAAGTCAGAAGGGGAACAGACCTGAACTTGCTTCCTATCTCCCACGTGAGCGAAGCTACCGCTTGGGTACGGGTTACTAAAAGGCGGGG